CAATGGCGGGAACAGTGGGGACAGTGGGACAGTGGTGGGGACTGTGGGACTGTGGTGGGGACGGTGGCGGTGGGGACAGTGGTGTGGGGACAGTGGGAATGTGGTGGGGACAGTGGGACAGTTGTGGAGACAGCGGTGGTAGGGACAGTGGTGAGGGCGGTGGCAAGGGCGGTGATGGGACAATGGGACAGAGGTACAGTGGGGACAGTGGTGGGGACAGCGGGGGCAGTGGTGGGAACAGTGGGACAGCTCAGTGGGACAGCGGCCGGGACGGTGGGACAGTGGGTCACTGGGACAGTGGGGACAGTGGTTGGGACCGTGGGGAACGTGGGGAGAGTGGGATTGCGGTGGGAACAGTGGTGAGGACAGTGGGGACAGTGCGACAGTGGTGGGGGCACTGGTGGGGACAGTGGGGACGGTGGTGGGAACAGTGGGGACAGTGGTGGTGAGGACAGTGGTGCTGGGGACAGCAGTGGGGGATGTGGTGCGGACGGTGGTAGGGACCGGGGAGTCGTTTGCTGGCGGTGAGCGTGGGGGGGGACCCCCCGCGGTTTTCGGGGGGGGGGGTTGGGGGGGTTCGAACTGGTAGTGACCCCCCTGTCGGTTTCCTGGGGGGCGGAGGAAGGGGTTCGAACTCGTAGTTACCCCCCTGGTTTTCGAGGGGGGTGGGGGGGGGGTCGAACTGGTAGTGACCCCCCTTTTCATGATGGACTTGGGGGGGGGGAGGGGTTCGAACTGCACTACCCCCCCCGGTTTTGGGGGGGGGGGGGGCGTTAGGAGGGAAGGGGGGTTTTGCCGGGGGGGGAGGGGGGTGTGGTTCCAGCAGGGAGAATTTTCCACAGTAATTGAAGCAGCGGTGGATCACGCTCTCTCAAGAAGTGAGTCGCCAGGATCTCAGGGTCCACTGGCCGCCGCCCCACCCCCCCTCGAGTTGATGGGACTAATCTGCACCTCCACCACCATAGGTAGGAGAGGGGGAGGAGGAGGAGGAGGAGGAGGAGGAGGAGGAGGAGGAGGAGGAGGAGGAGGAGGAGGAGGAGGATGGAGGAGGAGCGAGGAGGAGGAGGAGGAGGAGGAGAGGAGGAGGAGGAGGAGGAGGAGGAGGAGGGGAGGAGGAGGAGGAGGAGGGAGGAGGAGGAGGAGGAGGAGGAGGAGGAGGAGGAGGAGGAGGAGGAGGAGGAGGAGGAGGAGGCGGAGGAGGAGGAGGAGGAGGAGGAGGAGGAGGAGGAGGAGGAGGAGGAGGAGGAGAGGAGGAGGAGGAGGCGGATGAGGAGGAGGAGGAGGAGGGTCAGGAGGAGGGTGCTCTCAGGGTCCTTTCTAGGAGGCCTCCACAGGCGGTGGAAGGCCTGGAGCTTCCGAAGGACACCGAGGCCGCGGGCTGCCGCGCGAGGGCGGCGGCACGGCGGCGGCCCTCGGCGGCGTGTCTTCGGCGGCGCTGCTCGGCGCAAGCTGCAAGCCTGAAGAGCTAAGGGGCGCACTGGGCATCATAGATATCAGAAGAGGAAAGGGTACCCATACCGCTACCCTTCCCTCGTTTCCCCCCTTGTGGGCCTCCTGGGCGGCCCTCGTCGCCACTGCTGGATTCGCCTCGAAATGTTGGTCAGAACGCGCCCTGGGAGAGGTCCAGGGAGTAGCGGCATCGGTACTTCTTGGTTTCCCCAATATGCAGTCGGACCGAGTGAGAAGGTCGAGGTCGGTTCGGGGAGGGTGCCTTAGTGGTCTTCGTGTTTGCTGGACGTTCTTGTGCATCCTGGGGAGGGTGCCCTTGGTTTTTCGGTCTGTTTTGGCCGGCGGAGGGTCTCATGCTCTCGAAGGCTACTCTTCTGGCCTAGGGCCGACTGTATCTCTGCGGGTGCGTTAGAAGCATATGAATACCAGGAGTCCTATTCTTGGCGCTTCGCGTAACCCCACCAGCCCAGTTGTCGTTGGATTTACCACCCCGACCTCTGTGCTACCCGACAGGCTGGGGCTGGCGTCCTCGGTCGTTCCCTTGTCCGCTCTTGGACGTTGGAACGTTTCGCGCCATTTTGGCTGCGCTTGGTGGTCTCGGTGCCTACCTCAGGCCTGTTGGACGCACCTGCATGCCCGTTCAGGGGCTGTCATGGCACCTGGATTGCATCGTCTTCCCTGGACGCTGTCGTGAGCCGCCTGATCCGCGGCCCTGCGCGCGTTAGGTAATTTAGTCGCGTCCGCGGCCCGTTCGCGACCTTCCGCCGCTGGCGCTTCCGCCTGCGGCTGTAAAAAAAAGTAACCCCACCAGCCCATCCAGCAACGATGGCCAGGCGAGTGGTCCTGATCAGGGAAGTGAGGGGAGCATGCAGTGGCGCAAAGAGCTGAGAAGCCATCAAACCGAAGTTTTGGATCAGCCTGCGAAAGCCTAGGAGTGAAACACAGGTGCGATCGCGGGCTAGTCGAACGAGGAAGGGCAGAAGAGAATGACGACGAGGTGAAAGGAGGAAGGTGAAGATGAGGAGGAGAAGGAGGAGGAGGAGGAGGAGGAGAAGGAGGAGATGGAGGAGTGAGGGAGAACGATGGATGAGAGGAAAGAATAGGATAATGAGGAGGAGGAGGACCAGGAAGAGGTTTCGGAGGGTCCTTGGTCTCGGCAAAGAGTGCAAGAGGCACCCTGAGAACAAGGACGCTGCGAACCCCCCGAGCCTCTTGAAGAGAGGCACCGATCCCAGCAAGCGTCACGTCGGTCGCAGCATCCCCATAAGAGGTGATGAAGCTTGTTTCGACCTGGTTTTCGCAGACATTTTCTTTTTTCTTGGAAAGGGCTCATGCCCAGGGTTCTCTTGTGGCTGTGTCCCCCCGGCCTCGATTTGAGGTGGGCCGGCAAATTCAATCTGCGATAGATAACGAGGTCGAGGTGGGCTAGCGAATCAACATTTGAGGATGTCCCAAGCGAAACGTTGGTTTTTGAAATTCGGAGCGATCAAACACAAGGTAACGTATGCATTTTCGTTTGTTGCGGATGTCTCGAGCGAAACTCTCGTTTTGTATAATCTGTTGAGGGTGTGTCGAGCGAAACGTTTGTTTGTGCTATAGATCGTTCCACTCCTGGAGACCATAATTCAGAGGATGTCTCAGGTGAACTCGTTGTTTTCACGTGCCCATGTCTCGAGGATGTCTCGAGCGAGACGCTTGGTTTCACGCCTCCAGGTTGCCCAGGCAGATGTCTAACATCATGTTTTTTCGAGGATGTCTCGAGCGATACGTTTGTTTTCACGCTTTCAGGTCGTCCAGGCAGATGTCTAGCATGAGGATGTGTTGAGGATGTCTGGAGAGAGAGAGAGAGAGAGAGAGAGAGAGACAGAGAGAGAGAGAGACGCTTGTTTTTGCTTGTCCAGGTCGCCCAGGCAGCATGAGAATGCGTTGAGGATGTGTTGAGCGAAATGTTTGTTTCCTCGTGTCCAGGTCGCCCAGGCGGATGTCTAACATGAGGATGTGTTGAGGATGTCTCGAGGGAGACGCTTGGTTTCACGCGTCCAGGTCGCTCAGGCACAGATGTCTACCATGAGGAGGTGTTGAGAACGTCTCGAGCGAGACGCTTGCTTTCACGTACCCAGGTGCCCAGGCGGATGTCTAGCATGAAGATGTGTTGAGGATGCCTCGAGCGAGACGCTTGCTTTCACGTGTCCAGGTCGCCCAGGCAGATGTCTAGAATGAGGAGGTGTGGAGGATGTGTTCAGCGAAACGCTTGTTTTCACGTGCCAAGGTCGCCCAGGTGGATGTCTAACATTAACATGTTCGGAGGGTGTCTCGAGCGAACCGCTCGTTTTTGCGTGTCCAGGTCGCCCAGCGGATGTCTAGCATGAGGATGTGTTGAGGATGTGTTGAGCGAAACGATTGGTTTCACGTGTCCAGGTCGCTCAGGCACAGATGTCTAGAATGAGGAGATGTTGAGAACGTCTAGAGCGATACGCTTGGTTTCTCGTGTCCAGGTCGCCCAGGCGGATGTCTAACATGAAGATGTGTTGAGTATGCCTCGAGCGAAACGCTTGTCGCCGTAGAGTGCAGCGCAGTCCAGTCCCGCCCGTCCGTGGGGCGTCCCCCAGCGCCCTGGCGTGCCCCCTGGCGCGTCCCTTGCGACGTTCAGGCGTGACGTGCCCTGGCACGTCCCCTAGCACGCCACTCGGCGTGGCACGTTCCCTGGCTCGTCCTCTGTCACGTTTCCTTGCTCGTACCCAGGCGTTTCCCCTGCCCGTTTCGTGGCGGGCCCCTTGCAACGTCCCTTGGCATGACGTCCTCTAGCCGCCCCATGGCACGCGCTTTGGCACTTCCCGTGGCAGGTCCCTGACACGTCTAGGGCACGTCCCCTGATGCGTCCCCCGGCACGTCCCCTGGCGCATCCCCTGTTGCGCCCCTGGCACACCCTGTGGCGCGTCCGTGAGCCTGTGCCCCGTGTCGTGTTGTTCCTTTATACGGAGCCGAGTCGAATTTTGAGGTCGAGTTGATTGAACGTCCTCCACTTTTCCACTTCAACTAGCTCTGGGGCGGCTATTATGTGCTCAGACAGCTCGAGCTTAAGATACAGATCAGTTCGGTCAGAACTCGAATGCCAAGGAGGACTCGATTCACAACTCTGTAGAGCGCACTTTCCGCATGACACACCGCCGTCCAGCATGGCACAGCACAGCACAGCACAGCCCTGGGCACGGTACACCAAGATCGATACATTGAGCATTGCAATTGCCCGTCGCCCGATCAGGTGTCTTGAAAACGTTGCCATACCTCACAATTCCATATCCCTTTCTGGGTTCATGGGTCTATCATGCTCGCTACTGGTCTCGTAGAGTATGTTGGCTGAACGGCTGAACGGCTGAGAGGTTAGGATCGAGAGGAGCGGAATCGAACAGGATCAGCCGAGTTGAGGTGATCAGGGAAGTGTAGTAGTAAAGATGGGGACAGCCGTTATCGTTCGACGGATGAGGATGATTGATGATGGGGGAAGGAAGCATGATGAGGAATACGCGGATGTCGATGATGATGGCGATCATGGTCCGTAACCATTTTGGCTCAAGTCTGGGTGGTCCAAGGGAATTGGCACCTGCTCTTGATACACACACACACACACTCAGTCATTCACCTTGTTTTATGGCAGCATGCCGCCTCGCTGCTCAGACAGCTTGCCTGCGTTATTCGCGACGAGCAGGTTCAAAGCAATCGTCGTCAGCACCCTCTTCTGCACGAGTGGTGCCATTGAGTTCGCCTTGAGCAGTGAGCAGAGGGCCTCTGGGAAGGCAGGCGTGAAGACGAAGGCAAGCCATCGGGTGGAGGCGAGCACGCAGCTGGGCGTCATGAGCAAAGCGGGCGTCACGAGGTACAGCCACAACAAGATCAAGGCGGTCAAGAGCGCCAATGAGTTCTACTGGGCGAGCACTGGTGGCAAGCACGGCAAGTTCGGCACCTCATCTTTCGCTGGCCCTGTGGACCTCGTCAACAACATCTCGTGGGGCTGGCATCACCCCAACGGAGTTCACAACACCGTCCTGGTCGGCGCACCGCTCATCGACGACCAGATGAATATCTACGTAGCGGCCGACGACGCCATCCGCAAGTTTGACACGCTGGGGACCCTTCTTTGGAGCTACGGTCCGCGTGGCCAGCTGGCCTCCGCGCCTTCGCTCGTGGCAGCTGGCTACGCCAGCTCGCCCCCGCAGGGCGAGGTCCACGGCTATCCCCCAGCGCCGTTCACCGAGGCCCACGCGTTTCGCGTTGGCGATCGCGTCAACTCACTTCTGAGGGTTGGCGATCAAGTCGAGGTGCTCCCAGGTAAGGAGTACCACGCCAAGGGCAAAGAGTACTACAAGACCGGCGATGTGGGCGAAGTCAGCAAGATCGTTGCCAGCGATCGCGGCGAGCCAAGGGCGATCATCAAGTGGCCCCGCACGGGGCACGCCAGCAGCGCGCTGCTTTCCACCTGGCAGCAAAAATTTGCCCGAAAGGAGGATGGCACGTCGAGGCGCCAGGTTCCTGCGCTCTACGGGTCCACCGTCACAGGCTATGGCTTTGCACTGGACCTGGAGACCGGCGACGAGCTCTGGGCGACCAAGCTGTCTGCCGAGATTGCCGGCGTCAAGGGGACCGTGGCCGCCAAGAACGGCATATTCGTTGCGGCTTCCGACAAGTGCCACAACCGGTATTGCTACAGATACCGCAACGAGAGTATGCACGTAAGCATGGCGCCCTCGAACCGTGTCATAAGGGGGCTCAACAGCGTGAACGGCACCGGCATCTGGTCATACACGCCAGACCATCCAGTCTGGAATTTTGACCCGCAGATCACCGGGTGGGGTGGTGTGCTGTTCCAGGATTTCCAGGGCGGGCTTTATTGCCTCAACCTGACCACAGGCGAGGAGCTGTGGAAGCACGAGGGGCAGCTCGGCATGTACACACAGGCTGCCGCCGTTTTCAGCGCAGAGCTGAACTACATCTTCTCGATCACTGAGGAAGCATATGACAGCAGATGGTGCGACCCATACACTCCACCAGGGATCCTCATTTGGTGCAACACAGTGCAGGATACCCAGGGGATCGTCCGAGGCTACCACGCGGAGACTGGTGTGAAGATGTGGGAGACTACTCTTCCTATGCCGCCTACAGGAGCGAGCCTCGGTTCGCTCAACAGTGGCGACGGCAGAACACACCTGGTAGTCGGCATAGGACTCAACTGTCAGTACGGGGGCACGTATGGCAGCATCGGCAAGCCGTCAGAGCTGTGGGCTCTGAGTGGAAAAACGGGGGGCCGACTGTGGAGGCGGGTTGGTCCCACCCTCTGGACTTCGGATTGTGCTGGTGACAAAGAGGGCGAAGACATCCGCCGGGCAATGGGCACTCGACCGAAGTGTCAGCCGAACAGCTGGAGCAATCCGGTGATCGATGCCAATGGAGACGTCTACGCTGGCAACCACGTTGGAATGGTTCAGAAATGGGGCTCGCCTACTGGTCAGCGTTACACTGTGGACCTTCTGTCCTCGCTGGAGACTGGCTCGGCGATGCTGGATCAGAGCATCGCGACGGCACCTGGCATGATGGCCATAAGTACATGCAGATCGCTGATCGTTCTCACGGCCTGAGCGCTGAAGGTAATAGGCCGTGGATCCAAACTTCGTCGCTTTTGGGTGGTCCCTCTTCTCCTCACCCCTTCACGTCCTCCCCTCTGCCTCTCATTATCCGTTTCTGTCTTTTCCTTTTTCTTTCTGTAGTGAGGGACTGTTGCTCTAGGTTTCCAGATCTTCTGGGTAGCATGATGCCTATGCTCTGCCGCTGCCTTGCAGGGCTACGCAGTGTCCGCGTCGGCTGGTTCGCGACGCGCCTCTGCCTGAAGTCTGAAATTGCCACGAACCCCGACCTTGGAGGACAGGTGGGCGTGACTTGCGAGAAAGAGTACAGCAGAGAAGCTGATGCCTGTGGGGCTCCTTACGTTGGTGCCCGCGTCGTCTGTTTGACGTCATGAAACTTTGTCGAAGCGTCTGCGGCCATCCTGGGGCCCCCGTGGGCAATCTGGGGGGAGAGGGTCTTGAGAGCCATCGTGGAGGCCGTTTCAGAGCACTGGAGGCCTCCTATGAGACAGCGTGGGCGAAAAAGAACCCCCTGACACCCCAGGACCAGGAGCAGGAGGAGGAGCAGGAGCAGGAGGAGCAGGAGGAGGAGGAGGAGGAGGAGGAGGAGGAGGAGGAGGAGGAGGAGGAGGAGGAGGAGGAGGAGGAGGAGGAGGAGGATGGGGCCCTCTTGGGGACCTCTGGGGGCGTCCTGGGAGGTCTGAGGGCCTGGCGGGAAGCTGCAGGGCTTGGGCCATCCGGAGGCGTCTTTTGGGCCCCTCTGGGGACCATCCTGGGGGCCTCCTGGCGGCGCGTGTGAAGGTGTGAAAAGAAGGAAGACGGAGGAGGAGGAGGAGGAGGAGGAGGAGGAGGAGGAGGAGGAGGAGGAGGCGGAGGAGGAAGAGGAGGAGGAGGAGGAGGAGGAGGAGGAGGAGGAGGAGGAGGAGGAGGAGGAGGAGGGGAGGAGGACCAGCTAAGTGCGCTCGCGTCATATCTGACGTTCTGCCCCTTCCTCCCATCCCTTCCCATGGCGTAGGTCTCCTTTCTATACGTCTAGTCGCACAATCGGATGTCGTAGCATGGCATAGCATTACATGGCATAGCATGGTGTTGAATATTCACGCGTGGCATGACATAGCATGGCGTGGCGACGCCCCAAAGTGGGGGGCTTCCGCGGCCCAAAACATGAACGAACCGACACCGAATGTGGAATTACTTCCGATGGTTTCTTCGGGAGGTATTTTTTTTTGGATTTTTGGGCCTGTTGGAAGGACCGAAAACCATGTCGTGGCATGGCATTGGAACTAATGACGCCAGCGCTACAGCGGGAGCACGATTCGGAACGAGCGGAAGCGCGGAAATGAGGCCAGCGCTGCAGCGGAAGCACGACTCGAACCAAGCGGTAGCTCGAAAAATGAGGCCAACTCTTCAGCGAGAACAGCATTTTGAACAAAAACCCAAACGCGGAAGCGCGGGCATGAAGACGAGTAGCTTGACATAGCATGGCGTGACGACGCTCCAAAGTGTGGGGGGCTTCTGCGGCCCCAAAAGTTAACGAATCAGCACCGAGTGTGTACTCACGTTCGATGTTTTTTTTCTCCCAATCCTCTTTGGAAGGGCATTCGTTTCGAATCGAGCACTGCGGTCGCGTCTTCTCCTTTCGCCTCCCGCCTCCTGCCTCTCGCCGCTTTCTCGTCTCCTGTCCCCCGGGACCTCGCCGTCCCTGGGGGGCTGCGATCTGCGACAAAGTCGCCACTTTCGAGGGCTGTTGGTGGGCCCAGCGGAGTGAGGCACCGCGCAGACTTGAGCGGGACCTCGCCGTCCCTGGTGGGTTGTGGTCTGCGGCATCGTCGCCATTTTCGAGGGCTGCTGGCTGCTGGTGGGTCCAGCGGAGTGAGGCACCGCGCAGACCTGAGCGGGACCTCGCCGTCCCTGGGGGGCTGCGATCTGCGACATTGTCGCTACTTTCGAGGGCTGCTGGTGGGTCCAGCGGAGTGAGGCCCCGCGCAGACCTGAGCGGGACCTCGCCGTCCCTGGAGGGCTGCAATCTGCGACATTGTCGCCACTTTCGAGGGCTGCTGGTGGGTCCAACCGAGTGAGGCACCGCGCAGACCAGAGCGGGACCTCGTCGTCCTTGGGGGGCTGCGATCTGCGACATTGTCGCCATTTTCGAGGGCTGTTGGTGGGCCAGCTGAGTGTCGCACCGCGCAGACCTGAGCGGGACCTCGCCGTCCCTGGGGGGCTGCGCTCTGCGACATTGTCGCCATTTTCGAGGGCTGCTGGTGGGTCCAGTGGGTTGAGGCACCGCGCAGACCTGAGCGGGACCTCGCCGTCCTTGGGGGGCTGCGATCTGCGACATTGTCGCCACTTTCGAGGGCTGCTGGTGGGTCCAGCGGAGTGAGGCCCCGCGCAGACCTGAGCGGGACCACGCCGTCCCTGGGGGGCTGCGGTCTGCGACATTGTCGCCATTTTGGAGGGCTGCTGGGTGGTCCAGCGGAGTGAGGCACCGCGCAGACCTGAGCGGGACTTCGCCGTCCCTGGGGGGCTGCGATCGGCGACATTGGCTGCGATCTGCGACATTGTCGCCATTTTCGAGGGCTGCTGGTGGGTCCAGCGGAGTGAGGCACCGCGCAGACCTGAGCGGGACCTCGCCGTCCTTGGGGGGCTGCACTCTGCGACATTGTCGCCACTTTCGAGGGCTGCTGGTGGGTCCAGCGGAGTGAGGCACCGCGCAGACCTGAGCGGGACCTCGCCGTCCCTGGGGGGCTGCGCTCTGCGACACTGTGAACCTGCCGAATGCCGCTCGCAGAACGCATAAGCGTTCATGCCATGTCGTCGCCCTCTCATCAAGTCTCCCAAGCTACTCATGCCCTGCACTGCGCAGGGGTTGGGTATGTCGCCAGGGTATTTTTCGGGGGGGGGGGGGGGGGGGGGGGGGGCAATTTTCTAAAGTTTGGGGCCCTGTGGAAGAACCGAACACCATGCCGTGGCATGGCGCTGGAAATAATGACGCCAGCGCTGCAGCGGGAACACGATTCAGAACGAGCGCAAGCGCGGAAATGAGGCCAGCGTGGCAGCGGGAGCACGATTTGGAACGAGTGGTAGCACGGAAAGGAGGCCAGCGCTTCAGCGAGAACAGCATTTTCAACAGAAACCCAAGCGCGGAAGCGCGGAAATTGGCGTGGCGACGTCCCAAAGTGGGGGGATGGGGGCTTCTGCTGCTGACAATATCAACGAATCGGCACCGACTGTCTAATCATTTCCAATGTTTTTTTTTTCGGGGGGTAATTTTGTAGATTTTGGAGCCTATTTGGAAGGACCGACAGACATGCCGTGGCATGGCGCTGGAAGTAGCGACGCCAGCGCTACAGCGGGAGCACGATTCGGAACCAGCGGAAGCGCAGAAATGAGGCCAGCGTTGCAGCGGGAGCACGACTCGGAACGAGCGGTAGCCCGAAAAATGAGGCCAGCGCCTCATCGGGAGCAGCATCATGAAAACGCACCCAAGCGAAACCGCAATTCCCGGGAATAGTGTGTGTGTGTGTGTGCAACAAATAAATCGCGGAGGGGGACCGAAGAATCCCCGGGCGCCACCAGGGGAGAGATGAGAGTAGTATTCAAGTTGTTCGATTGTGGAGGAGGAGGAGGGGGGAGGGGGAGGGGGATGATGATGATGATGATGATGATGATGATGATGATGATGATGATGATGATGATGATGATGATGATGCTGATGATAATGCTGATGATGATGCTGATGATGATGATGATGCTGATGATGATGATGATGATGATGATAATGCTGCTGCTGATGATGATGCTGATAATGAGGACGATGCTGATGATGACAATGATGATGTTGCTGCTGATGATGATGATCATACTGGTGCTGATGATGATGATGATGATGGTGGTGGTGATGATTATTGTGATGATGAGTATGAGGATGCTGATGATGACGATAATGATGAGGATGAAGCTGATGATGACGATGATGATGATGCTGGTGATGATGATGCTGATGCTGATGCTGATGCTGATGATGATGCTGCTGACGATGCTGATGATGATGCTGATGATGATGATGATGGTGATGATGATGGTGATGATGATGATGACGATGATGATGATGCTGGTGATGATGATGCTGATGCTGATGCTGATGCTGATGATGATGCTGCTGATGCTGATGATGATGCTGATGATGGATGATGGTGATGATGATGGTGATGATGATGATGATGATGATGATGATAATGGTGATGATGATGATGATGATGATGCTGATGCTGATGCTGATGCTGATGCTGCTGCTGATGATGATGATGATGATGATGATGATGATGGTGGTGGTGGTGGTGGTGAGGAGGAGGAGGAGGAGGAGGAGGCGGAGGAGGAGGAGGAGGAGGAGGAGAATAATAATAATCACATTAATAATAACAATAAGAAGAAGAACACTGATAATAAGAGGAGGACGGATAAGAATAATAATAAGAAGACGAATAATAATAATAATAATAATAATAATAATAATATTAATAATAATAATATTAATAATATTCGAAACACTAAGAAGAAGACGAAAACGCATGAGCAGAAGAAGCGGAGGAGGAAGATGAGCAGGAGGAGGAGGAATGAGGAAGAGGAGGAGGAGGAGGAGGAGGAGGAGGCGGACGATAAGGACGAGGAATATAACGAGGAGGAGGAGGAGGAGAAACAGGAGGAGGCGGAGGAGGAGGATGATGACGATGACGATGACGATGACGGTGACGATGACGACGATGATGATGATGATGATGATGACGATGATGATGATGATGATGATGATGATGATGATGATGATGACGATGATGATGATGGTGATGAGGATGATGATGACGATGACGATACTGATGATGATGATAATGATGATGATGATGATGATGATGCTGATGCTGATGATGATGATGATGATTATTATGATTATGATTATGATGATGCTGCTGTTTCTGATGGTGATGCTGATGATACTGATGATGATGCTGCTGATGATGAGGCTGCTGCTGATGATGATGATGCTGATGCTGATGATGCTGATGATGATGACGATGCTGCTGATGCTGATGATGATGCTGGTGTTTCTGATGGTGCTGATGCTGATTATGATGATGATGATGATGATGATGATGATGATGATGATGTTGATGCTGATGATGATGATGATGATGGTGGTGGTGATGCTGTTGATGATGTTGTTGATGATGATGATGATGATACTGATGCTGATGATGCTGATGATGCTGATGATGATGATGCTGCTGCTGATGCTGATGGTGATGATGCTGATGATGATGATGATGCCGATGATGA